TTTCGAATGTAAGGATTTTTAATAGGACATGACAAAGGGTCGTCGAAAATGACGGAACAACGTCTGCCTGGCAAGCTAGTAGCAAATAAATTACTTAATCGAATATCGTATGCGTAGACACTTCCTTTCAATATACATATCGAAGACTTGCATTCCGACGCGTCTGTCTGCCCGCGCAGTGGTACTGCGTCGTGTATATTGGCGAGACGAGCTTTGATATCAGCTGTACACCTGCGTGGCAGCGGCGAGATGGTGCTAGACGCTACGTTGGCGATATAATAAATTATAATATTGTATTATGTTACTTGTTTTATTTGATCACCTTATGGTCTCCATGTTAATAAACGAACGTACATTCTACATGATGGTAAGTGGCTAGTGCAGTCCTGTTGCAATCTTCATGCAAATGATATAGATGCATCGTCACCTCTAAGGACTAAAACTCAATTTGTAGTTACCGGTACGAAAGGTGAGCACAGATGAACTATGGTGGGGGTTGAACCAGCGTAGGCACACTGTCGGCCAAAATTATTAGGTTCTGTTGTTATTTCAATTCTTAATTGAATATTTTCGCTGACTTTTTTCCAAATTCTGAGTCGTTTACTTCTTTAACTATACGACGTACAGTAGCTACTTAGACATTAGTCGCCTTAGCAGTCTGTTTATAAACGTCTATCATGTTTTTCCCAATACCTAATTATTTTATGTAACAAAACACTGAATAGACCATTTGTCGGGATTGTTTAACACCGAATTTTTTCTTCTCTGCATATTTAGCCCAAAATCCGAATGTTCAAATTATAACAAAAAAATAATAATTAACAAGACATATCAAAAACAGTTAAAAACAAGAAATACATAAACAACAATTTAACAACGAGGTAACACTACAAAACTAATTAAAAAGTTGTCACTAAAATTACTCTCAAGTGTACGGTAGTCGAATGATACGTGCAAACCCAATAAACGACGAGAATCGGCTGACGAACCAATCACGTTGAGCGTCAGCGTGGTCAACGTCATATCGACCAATAAAAAGTGCTTACGACTCGTGGCGGCAATTATACATTGTGGCGGAGGAATCGAACGGAAGCGTAAATTTCGCCGCGACGTGCGGGAAGGCGCGCGCATGTTCGAGCATTTCCGCGACTTCACCTTCGGACTATATGACAATCGCCTTTGGGCTGTAGGAAAGTTAGTCTAGATTCCTCGCCCTTCGCGCCACTTCCCTCGAATTCCACATACTTCGCCGAAAGTAGCTACGGGAATCCTCGAGAATTCCCTGGAAGATGCGCGACTTCTTTTTTGGCTCACACCTAGTTTACGCGTTACACAATTAACATAAGACTTATTTTACTGCGTACGATTTCGATACAAAAATTCGCTTCCAATCCGTCCCGCAGCCGTGTAAATTGAGCCTAATGTGGGATACCTCACAGTAAGCAAGTGCTCGAGCTCTCTGTACTACCCTTCATACCGGAACACAGCGGTGCAATTGGCACTAGAAATAGGGGGAGGTCCACGAGAACCGGACACTTAAGGAACAATAAAAATAAAAAAGAACGTATTGACATCTCATTTGTTTATTTCACTTTAATATATTCACAACTATATACTTAATCAACACAGATATATCAACAGCCTCAAATCTTACTTTAAAAGTAGTAGGTACTAAGGAACATTTAACATAGAAAAAAACGACGTTTTTAAAAAAGGTCCTCCAATGACGGACTGCCAAGTTTTCATTCATTTTTAAACCTAAACATTATTTTAACACATTCATCATCCCTACGATTTTCATGTCTTCTCGGATTCCGCCTACATTTTACGGTTGACTCGCCAGGCGAGTCGCCGGCACTGCAATATAAATTGATCGACTCGCCACGCGAGTTCACTGGCACTACGTAGGGGTAAATTCCATGTTTTGTAACATGGTACAACACAACATTTTGGGTAAGTTCCATGTAATTTTTGTGGCCGTCACAGTGTACTTAACGTGTTTACGCAATTAAAAAGTGTTTCCGGACTATTCGGCTTGTAAAAATGGCAAAAAACTCTGGATAAAATAAAAGGTAAGTTTGTTTCGTCATTTGAGCAATGGTTGTCAACCTTTTAAATTGTGGTTATTGTTAAGGTTATATTTTGAATTTCTAATACTTGTGAATAGACAATTTTACCCTGAAATAATTTAATACGGGCTTTCAGTTTTAAGAATATGGTATCAGATTAAAATGTATTATTTTGGGTCGGCTTTAGTAATCTGCTGCACGATTTAAGTGACTATTTTAGCTTTAGTTGACAGGCAATGATGCTATTGATTACCATTTAGCTGCTTTTTATGCCGGAAATCTTTATTTTTCTGAATATCGATAGTTAAAGTTTTGAGGTTATATCGAGTTGGCTAGACATCCGGTACTTGATTTTGATTAATTAAATTACATATAACGAAACGCAAATATTATGTCAGTTTGTTTTTTTAACACAGATACACTCATAAAAAAGTTAATCACTCAGACCCAAACAATCCATTTGTGGCTGGAGATGGGACTTATATACAACAAATTGAGTTGCAGTGGAGAGCAGTCAAGAGGTTTATCAGAAAACAAAATTATAACAATTCACATTACATTATTTCATTCACCACTCTAGTAGCAGAGCTAGTAGAGAGAGCAACTAGACTTTATAGATAAAATAGGTCCGGTAATCGTAAGTAAAGGTATAGTCGAAACAGCACTCAAACAAGTCCAGTAATCGCAAGCCAAGGTAATCAAAACACGGGAGTTCAGTAAACGTAAGCCAGGTCACAAAGGTAGAGAACAGATAAACGCATGCGATGACGAATGGGTCGTACAAAGCGCTGATATTGAAAACAAAGTTTACTAGAGTAGGCAACGACGTCACAAATAGGAATACAATGGACGAAATATTTAGTTGCAAGTGCATTCTTGGAGTGCGATTTAACATTATGAGCTTTGTAAAAAACAATTTTATAAGTGCTTTTGTTCTTCAAATACAACGGCGCGCCGGTGTTTTTTGTCGGCTGTTTTATCAATGCCGACCCTTTTTTTTATTTATTTTCAACCCTATTACAAAGATACAAGATTTATAATATGGCTGCTAGATATGTTATCTCAAATATTACGATAACTGTATTTCTAAAGCTTGTTTAAAAAAAATAATGTCTTGATAGGTCTTCCTAGGACGGAGGCTTTATTCCAAACTGGTGGTATATCAATACGTAATCAAACAAGAGTGACTTTCGATAAGTAACACATAAACACTCACTCCTGTCACCCAGAGAGGTAGGCAGAGACTACGGACTTCTATTTGGCACGATCCTAATTATTCTAATGAAACTAGTTTGTTGTATATTAGTTCCATATCACAAGTATGTAGGTAGTCCATGCTACTATGTTCACGTTGTAGTCTAACATGTCAAAAGTTGAGGATCTATGTCAGGAAACTCGCCTAGCGAGTTCAAGGCATTGCAGAATAGTTTGTTTCCTTTCAAATTTAAACGGGGTCTCCACACCCGGCCCACCACGTAAATCTTTAGCTTAGCATATATTTAGTCTAAACTATAATTTTAAGCAGAAAATACTAATGCATTTTGGAAATATTAGTGAAAAACACTGAACTCGCCAGACGAGTCGTCGGCACTGGAATAAGATTTACATGAACTCTCAGGGCGAGTCGGTGGCACTGAATGTGTTAACACAGAATTCGTAAGAATATCTATTAAAATTGATCAAACCAGCTGTTTATAAAGAAAACTATTCTTAATTTTAATTAACTTTGGTCATAATTATGAACGGTTTCTATAAAATTACAAAACTTTAATTGTACAACCTGCAAAAATCACAAATGTAGCTAACTGAGCTTTTTTCAATATTTCATGTTTGGGGGTACTCCCACAACTCGGTTTGGGTTTATCCAATTGAATCTGAAAAACAAAGCACAAAAATAATAACTACAACAAAAATAAACTTATTGTAAAACTGTCCGGTATTAGGGGACTTTGAGTGCATACAACCCTTGGGTACATACAAATTCTCATTCACATTATGTGTGAATGAGAATTTTTCTTGTATGTACCTTTTTTTTTTTGAATTGTTCTTGTATGGCTCTTAAAAAAACACCTGGGTTATATCAGATTAGTACAATATCAATAATAATTAATAACAATGATTATCATCCCATACTTTAAATACTGTTTCCAGAACCCAAAAAACTACTTCGAACAAAATTTGCTACACGCTCCACGCCGAACGAGTCAGCACTAACTATTGACACGCTACCCCCACACTTCACTTGGGAAACGCTCTCTAACCACGACTCAAACAACAAATTGGCGCGCTTTTTCGCACTGATTCAAATTCTGTCCGGCTTTAGGAGCCGTCCGGGCTTAGGGGACTTCCCCCTACGTTATGAGGGTAGTCTACCAATTACCTAGACCGATTTGTGCAGAGGACTTTTACTGTTCAAAGGAGACCCTGTTAATTCTTCAGACTTGAATATGCTTCTTACGAGCATTAATTGTAACAATTCGCACTCTAACTCGCTTCATTTTAAATAAACTGAAATGTACTGCCTAAATACGTGAGCTTTGGACTTACTACGATACGGTTTTATGTACTCAATCATCTTTGCAGTCCACAGATAAATATAGGCCTTCCTATATGACAGAAACTTATAAGGTGCTCACGGAATGGATTTTTGGATTCTCTTGTGAAATGTAGTGTCTCCATAGTGTTTAAGGGCCTTTTCAGTGCGACGCGGATGACCTACGCGGACGTCCGCGACGGACGGTAAAATGTATGAAACCTTACAGCGCGTTCAGAGCGACACGGAGCTGTCCGCGTCGCGGAGAGCTATCCGCGCGCGGTCGAAATCGTCTCCGCGCCGCGGATGTCCGCGGGCGGACGGTGCTTGGTTTTAATGTATTTGTTCAGTTCTCGGCGGACAGTTGCGCAGAGCGGACGTAAAGTACTGTCGTTGTCATGACGGCTGCGTCAAATGTGCAAACCGAGAGGGTTATACAAGAAGTACGACTTCGACCATGTCTTTGGAATCTCCGCGACAATTCATATAAAAATAAAGACGCGAAATTAAAGGCATGGAAAGATGTTTGCGAAGTTGTTTGTCCGAATTTCGGAGATAGTTCAGGTGAAGAAAAAAAACAAATCGGTAAGTAATGTTTATTGAAACATCTGTGTTATCTAATAAATATAACTATTTTGCCAAGGTACAGATCCTTCATTTGAGACAAAGTAATTTGCAAAATTATCTCTTATTGTATTGCCCGATCGTGTACTGTCATTAATGCGAGCATTGCAATCTGTAAATCCAGCTACAATCATAGCGTCTTCTTCCGTATAACCATCGCGTACTCTAATGAAATTGTGTAAAATGCAGCACGCTTTGATTAAAATTTGTGCAAATGATGTTGATACATTGATAGATCTTTGGAATATTGCAAATTTGTTTGTCAATATACCAAAACTCGATTCTATGTATCGGCGTGCACGACTTAACCTGTAATTAAATATTTTTTTTTTGTGTGTCAAATTTGTACGCGCGTATGGGCGAAGTATAGTATTGGAAATTCCAAAAGCTGCGTCTCCTACAATGACATGTGGCTGTGGGTTGATAGATGTGCCTGGTAATAATTTTGGAGGTGGCAAATATAGATCATCTCGTTCAAGTCTATGAAATAACGAACTTTTCTTGAACACATTAGCGTCTGCTTCGCTGCCACAAGCCCCTACATTTACATAGGTAAAACAGTAATTGGCATCACACATTGCAAGTAAAATAATAGAATAAAATTGCTTATGGTTGAAAAATACGGATCCACTTTCTTTTGGGCACGTGATTCTGGTATGCTTTCCGTCAAGGGCGCCTACGCAATTGGGAAAATTGGCATCCCTTTCAAAGCCAAGTGCTATGTTATTCCAAAAATTTGGATCAGGTTCAGGCAGACATTCGTTTTTCAAAATTTCCCATATTAATGAGCATACTTCTTCAATAATGTATTTAATTGTAGATAGCCCCAATCGATAACTTAAATGCAAATCAGACATTCTTGACCCAGTAGTCAGGTACCTGCCACAAAAAAAAGTGTGTAATAAATAAGTAAAGTTACTAGCATATGTTGTTTTATTATTTATATTATTTAATTTACAGAAAAAGCTGTTCAGTTAAGATGGAAGACCGCCCGTGATGCATACATGAAGTGTAGAGCAAATCTTAAGACATCGAAGTCCGGTTCTGCAGGGGGTGTCAAAAAGAAGTATATTTTTTTCGATATAATGACGTTTTTGGAAGACACAAAGGACTTTGAACCCACACATGAAAGTATGGCTTTAACATCGTCGCAGACCTCCCAAAATGTTGCTTCAACGTCATCGCAAAACTCGCAAAGTATTTTACCTATTACCACGACCCCGGACTTGCCATCAACAGAAGAAACATTTCAGACACCTGTGCTGGCTTCTCCAAAACCGTGGCAGAGAAAAAAAAAGAGATGTATGACAGACTTTGAGTCACAATTATTGAAAATATTAGAAAAGAATGAGACTTCCACCACAAACTTTGCGTCGTCTACGGCTCTTAAAGACGATGACTGCAGTTTTTTTAATTCTCTAGCACCCATTATAAACGATTTCGATAATTATAAAAAATTGTTATTCCGAACTAGAATACTGGAGCTAGCTATGGAAATTAGAGGTCCAGCTATGAACTCGCCCAGCACATCTGCATCAACCGCTACCAACGATTTACCTCACTTATCAGGGAGTGATGTGGACGAGTCTTTAGAAAGCTGGCAACACGGTGATTACACTGCATTGTAATTAATTACATAATTACATTTTAAATTGATTATATAATTTTTTTAATTAAAAAAATTGTTTCATTTATTTAACTTTTAAATTTAAGTACCTAGTTACCTAATTGTTACAGCCAATCTCTCCCGCGAACATATAGGTTTCTTGTATATATCGCAACGCATTAAAGGTGGCTCTAGTTTCGCATGCAACTCCTCAAATGTCCTAATGGACATCTTGAAATATTTGAAGAATTTCATTTCGTCATCCCGCAAGTCCGAAAACAAGGATACAAATTCTCCTTTAAGAAGTCTTTTCTCAACCAGTGGATGCACATTAAATCTTCTACTATGGCGTCTTCTTCTTCTGTTGTTTAATAAATAGGCCGCAATCACAAAATTCAAAGTTTTATCCATGACACTGTACCACTCTCGATCACGATCCGCATCGCACTGAACGACGAATTTATCCGCGACGGACGCAAAACCTCATCCGCGTGCGGACGGTCCGCGTCGCACTGAATAGGGCCTAAATGTTCGACCGTGACAATTTATGGGTTTTTTTTACACTAGAGAATAAGGTATAGAGTGAGGCTACCAGACTTACTTGTGTGGCAATCTTTGAGGATGCCATGTTCAACAATGGACTTTACATAGGTGAAATATAAGTAAAACAAGAGTGTGAATAAATATTTTATTGATATATAATATCCGCTTCAACAACGCCGACCGACAACTGTGGAGTCCAGCTCAAGCCGCACGCCTGGCTCACATACACGCCAGTCCCCATGCACAGGCGGACGGTGGAATTCATGACTCAATATTATACAAAAACAATTTTGACCTAATTAACCTGTGTACATTTTCGTTTAGATTAATCTGTTTCATTAGTTGCCAAATACACAATATACCACCGTTTCTCAAACTGGGGATCACGATCTTAAAGGATCTTAACTATTTAAGTTGAATTTAGTAATTGATTTTAAACTAACTTCCCCGATGAGCTAGAGACTTGAAAATTTGAACATAGCTCAGAATCGGATGACATTTTAAGAAAAAAAATGGTATATTAAAAAATTATAATTTTTAAAAATGTCACTTGTTAGTACGCAACACTATAATAATTGAGTTTTATTTTTTTACTTGCAGGGGAGTCGCAATATTAAACAGATTGAGAAACGATGACAATTTTTTTTATACATTTTCGAATTTCGAAATAATTAATATTGCACAGTACTAGGTAAGTAAGACACTATAGCGTAAACAGATTCTGGAATTTCAAACGGAAAAAGGCACTAAAACAGCCCATTTTCTTTTCTTATAAATTACAATTACGTTCGGCTCGCAAACCGAAAGTTTTCTTAAAGAATAACTACAATATTCTAATAAATTTCCAGTTTGCAAACACAATTAAAATTCCTCATGTAATCCTCACCGAAAACCAGAATCCTCCACACGTCCACATGGCAGAAAGAAATTATAACCGACTGTCCCTTTCATCCTCTTATATTAATATTGTATTGCTTCATTTTGTTTCACTTCAGTATTATCGCAACGTTAGAGAAGTTTCAACCTTTTCTCGTTTGACAAATGGTACAATTTCAAATGGTGCATAGTAATCAACTTTAGACACTTAAAAACGTAATGCCAAATTTAAATTATCAATATATTTGAACAATATGGCAGTAGACAGTCGTGGAAAATTGAAACACTTATATACGAGCAGTCCGATTTTTTATACGGGAATTTAATAAAAATACTAGAAGAGTGAATGAGAGTGAGGAAACTTCATAAACTGATGCTAGCAAATGACGCCATAGTTATGTAATCAAATCAGCTTTTATTTGTTATGTTTTTAAATTATGAAAATCTGACGCCCGTGTCTACAGTTACAAATATTTGGTATTATTATGTGTATTATTGTTGATGAATCCCGTGCTTGTGTGTGTGCGTTGCGAGGCGCTTGTATAAAGTAGTCGTAACAATGTAGTCAAATAACCATCTCACTTGTAGATTTTTAATTATGAAAATATGATTCAAATAAAAACGGAAATTCGACCAAAGTTTGAGATGTGACCAGTAGAAGCTAATTTAATTTATACGATGTAATAATTCATTAAAGATTATTTGTACTACACTCAATCAACTCAACAATTAACAGATAATTTTAAATTATTTTAGTGGCGTGTCTTAATCAAATGAGTTTGAATAATAATTAAATAAACAGTCACAAGTAAAAAGTTATGTCAAAGAGTGTATTACTCGGGTGTAATGAAAAATTCTATAAATAAGTAACTAGTGAAAACAATTCGTCATTATCTGTAACTAGGTGCGATTAAAGAATAGAACTAATTTTAAGGATTCTATGTGTTTAATTTTAACTCATATTTAATTTAATGCTTTGTAACATTCACAGCCACGAAGGGACTGTGATTTTGTGACCCGGACTATTCTGTTTTTAGTTAATTTCCCAGATAAATTAACATATTAAGTCGATCAAAAATTCAGTCAGGACTGGATTTTGAATTGGATTATGGGGGGTCGAAACTAAAACTAGGGGGGGTTAAACCTCCATGACTCACAAAAATGTTTTTTTAAATATCTTTTCTTTTACATTTGTCTCTATTTATATCCACGCCTGATCTCCATCGAGATTTCAAAACAAGTTAAAGTTAAATTCAATAAAATTCGTAAAATTAGTTTTATTGAATGTATAGTATTCGCGTGAATATACAAGATAATTTAATAGCACGTTAGAAACTTAGGTATTCGGATTCATTTTTAGTTTATACACAAAATATTACACCGCCTAATGCTGCGAGTATGTGCGCAATTCATCTTAGTGTAACAATAAAACAATTCCGAAAATATGTTTAACTTATCACTAATAGATCTCAACAATATATACAGAAACAATGCATCATTCAAAAGTTCATAATTCAACATTGGAACAATAAATTTTGCAACAGTGAAGCTAACCAGTTTGAGCCCGCACAGTGCACGTCAATCTTAAATGTTTTGACGGGAAAAAAATTCTGTAGTAATAGACTCGTACGGTTGTACTTTTGCCAGTATCAAGTAATTTAAAATTATTCTCTAATTTGTTAAAATCTTTTTCACATTATATCGAAATGTCGAAATTATCGTTTATAGTACGTAGTAGGTTATAGATATATCTCTGCGCAGATTTTAAGATACTTCAAAGTCCTGCTAAACTTTTTAAACACGCACACATCTTTCTTCTTTCTTTATTAGCCTGTAAACATTCACTTCTCGACGCACACGTATGCATTCAAAACCATGTTGTTGGTTGTAAATGATTTTAGATGTATTGACTTGGTCTTCGATGGTTTTGGCTTGGTCTGTTTATATTTCTTTGTCGGTTTGAGTTTATATATATTGCTTTGAAATGGCTAACATAATAAGTAAAAGCAATACGATTTTTAAAAGATTTTGCATGTTAAACACAGCATATGAACAATTAATATACTATAGTGAGTAGTCATTAGCTGATTGCCGGGTCAAACTGTACTCAAAATCACCCCAAAAACTTCGCGATGTGACACATGAACATATTGTGGGAGTTTTGTTGACAAATCATTTATTATTAATGCTAACGATAATTTCAATTTACTAAACGCTAGCAAATGCAAAAGAAATTGTACGAGTCTATAACCACATAAAAATGAAATTATAGTTATGGTAGTGAGAACTTAGAGCGAAGGTAACAAGTAGTAATGTGTTAAAACAATGAACGTTAAGTAAGTGCGGTAGGCAGCGAGTATGTAATGTATATTCCGCGATCTCTTTCTTTTATTCGGGAGTCTGTCGTACTTTAGGTTTTACAATAAACATTTTAAGGCGTCAATAGATCACGAGTGTCGTATGTCTATACATATAACACACATTCCAAAGATTAAACGTAGAAACCCCGCGTCGTAGGTCGGCACCTTACGAACTAAATGTAATTGTAGTCTTTAACTCTATGTGTTACACTTATGTGGAATTTATAACAAGGTGCGGCGAGCGCGTTCTGACGTTGCATGCGAAAATGTGCCTTAACACGACGGCCTAAGCTAAAAATTAGCTTGGTACGTAAAACCTGACTTAGAATGTCCACTATTCAAAGACAATATTAATTTTAAGCTCAACTTCAAAATGTCAAAATTAATGTAACGGAGATTGTCCCTGAATATCGGACTTGTGAGAGGCCGAGATCTAGTGGCCTGCAATAGATGGTGGTGTGACCAGCTCATATACAACATGTGACAAAAACCCTGTATCTCGAAGAAAGCTCGACAATAAAAAAATAGAATTGAATCAAAATAAACTTTTATTTGCAAATTGTATGTGATTTAATTCCCTCCTCGGGGGAGTAAGGCTGTAGGAGCACTTAATAGGACTTAAATTTTTTTATTGTATTCTATTGAAAAATGATCCTGATAACGCAGTTAACGGGAACCTCAGGGTTTATGTTATATGTTGTACTTGTATAAAAGTTACAGCCTATATACATCCAACAGCGGGCAAAGGTAGGAGAAATTTCTGAACGGGGTTTTGGGCAATCACTGAACTGCTGCTTTCGTGCGAGGTAAGGGACTTCACGACCTCCAAACACTTTATCTTCAGATATGCACGTGTTCTCACAATAATTTGCTCACCACTGAGGGCATGGTCAATTAGCACTTAAAATTGTATTTATCAATTTTATTGCTTTCGGTGGATATGAATTATGACACAGGATGCTCACCAACAACTATACTAGCAGTAGCCATGTGTCATTAATACATTTCTAATTACCCGATGATTCAACTATTGATTCATCTTAAGAATCGGGTCTATTATTCAAAAGGATCATTTTTAGTTTCAGTACTCTGCGATCTGTGAGACCCGCTCGATAATATCACATTATACTCTTTGGTCGTAGGTCGTGTCAATCTTTTGATCCGGAACATTTGAAAAACGTAATTGCAATCATCAATATGATGGGACCCGGATCAAATGAATGAATCATTCACGATTGACATATGTCTAACTAGCCGACTATTTGCTCCATAACCCTATCTGAAATGCGAAGAGGCCTGTTCCCGGAAGTGGGACGCATATAGACTGTAATTTCACTTAACGTATGATAGTATAGTAGGTTTGTATGCGTATGATAAAGTAGTGCACAATTACGATAATGTAAAATAATTATTATAATAATTCGCTATTAAATGTGAAATATTCCGTTGGATTAGATCCGAGGTCAAAGCAATCACCGGCAACTGTAGGAACGCACTCGACGCATAACAAAAAAACAGTATTTCTAAAAAGAACTTTCAGCTCAGTCTTCGCAGCCCATTTTTCAGTATAAAGTGTTTGATCACAATGAATCTCTTTTATATATACATCCTATATAAGTGGCAATTTCAGAACATCTGTATACGCATTTTGTATATGGCAAGAAACAAAACTATCGACTGTTTGGCGCTGCGAGAAAATTAGAACCACTAAAAACGCATCACTAGACTGAGTTTACTGATACGAAAAAAGTATCGATATCGGTATTTGCATAGATTACAATACTTATTTCAATTGTCTTTTATGCTTATTTCATATTTTTTTGGCATTTGATGTATTATTTTCGGCTAAGGGCATTGTAGTTAATGCCATAACAACCGTAAAAAAAAGTCTGGAAGCTACACGTCGGTCATGAAATTAAATAGGGACAAAAGTGTCTAACATTTCTGTCTAGCGATGCATCGCTAGTGTTCTAAATGAACATTAATAACTGAGTATATCTAACACAAACCAGAACCTGAGGAGTCGACTTTATGACGTATTCCTTATAGAGTATTATGAACCATTATTTGCGTTGAGAATTATTCTAGCTCATTTACTATTACTAAAGCTTCGCCTCGCACGTTGCCAACATGATCTCATTATTGTAATGCCATGCGTTTAAAAAAATTGTCTATGGTCACTTCAGATTTTTGTTGAAAAAAAAAAAACGTTTTCACTGCTAGTAACTTTCTCCTGTATCGTGCAGGCGGTTTACACTGAACACTGAATAATTATTTGTAGGCCATACAAATACATTGTGATTATCTACAGATTATTATTTAACGGCTGTCACTTTGTCTCAAATTGCAACCTCGTACCGGTAAGCGTAGACAGAGAAACCTATAGACTAATGATTAGCGTGGCCTGGAGTGAGAAAGGACGATAAAGAGGTGTTCAACTTGGTTATAGGTTAAACATTAATCTTTATGGCTTTTAAACATATTTAGATAAAATTTAAACGTATATTTATATAGTTCTGTAACGAAATTTAAAATAATAATTGAATTTTATACGTAATACCAGATAAAATGTGCTATACTTACGAGTAAAATGATATACCGGTGAGTTTACGTTCATCACTTTTACATCCTAAGACACTACATCTAACAATTTTGAAAGTTTTTAATTGTTCTAAGAACCGAACTGAACAAGATTCACCAATCTTAAGCTCACAAAACACTTTTTTTTCTCACTTAAATCAACTTGTAAACTCCTTAAATCGCTACGAACTGTCAAAGTTGTTGCAAACTACACTTTGCTAAACAAAAAAAACCGGCACGGAGAAAGGGACAAACAATCACACCGATCAGTCTCATTTCTATGCAAGACGTATGCATAAATCTCTTTTTCGTGTGCGAATGTGAAAGAAGGCTTCAATTTTTCTATAGGTTTCTCTGTCTACGCCGGTAAGCGAAGCATAGGGCGGCCCTTTACTAAATTTAGTGACGACCTGGTAAGACATGCAGCAAGTTGATGGATGCAAGTGGCTCAGCACCGTGTTCTGTAGCATTCCTTGGCCTATGTTCAGCTGTGGACTTGTGACTCATTATTATACTGTATAGAAGTTTTTTACTATATTTTTTATAATTGAATACATTGTTTTTGGCCAAAAGCCTAGTAGCCAATGCTACAAAAAAGGAGAAAAAATCACCTATAAATAACTGTGTATTTCTTTGAGTTTTATTTAGGGTTAGCAACGTGTGAAGTTCTGCCGCAAGTGACACTGTAGGGAGGCTGGAGATATATCGAGTACAATGCACACTGGCATCGCAACTTCTTATTCACTTAGATTAATTGGCAGTGATTATATTTGTGTTAAGTTTTGTGCATTTGATTCGTTACTCGTGCAATAGATGGCGCGGTAATAGTTATTTCATTTATAAATTCATTATTTTCCTAAATCTCATTATCTTTATAAAAATATGATCATTATAAAAATAAATAGAATTATTCTTTATATTTATAATAAAATTATATTTATAACAAAATACAGCTCGCGACACAAAATATATAAAAATAAACAAATGTCAAATTCTGTCAAATTGCTAAAAACTGTAACATTAAAAATAATTTAGCACAGGTAATAATTTTTAATATACATTGTATATTAATAGAAATATTTTTTTTGTTACTAATGGTTTTACCACTATGTAATTTATATTTTTGTGACATTTTAACTACTGCCATATTACCCATAATTACAATATCTGTAGTTGTGTCAACACTGACTATTTTATTTTAAATTGTATGATTTTCTATTTTGTATGCATTGATATGCAACAATAAAATTAAACGTGTTGTTAAAGCATTTTCTAAAAAAAAAGTAAATCAGGAAATATTTAAATATTTTGCAAATAACTAGCCTCGTTTATTCAAAAATAAAGTATACTACGTAAAAAAATTATTTTTAAAATGTCTGAAATAAAATGCGATTAAAACAATAATTATATAAAAATGGATATAAGAATAAAAATATATCAGGATCGTGCCAAGTGGAAGTTAGTAATCTCTGCCTACCCCCATGGTGGCAGAGAAAAAATACAACAAGACAAAGACACAAACTAGATATAAATAACATGATTTACACTTTTGACGTATGAGGTTAGACGTTTCATTGAAGGGATGAAATCTGGATGGAATAAGACAGAAGTATATCTCCAGCCCACCCACACTACGAACCCCAGTTACTTGGTCGCATCGCAACAAGGCACCAAGCTGCAGCCACTCAACTATATGGTACAAACACACTTCGAAACCAAATAAACATTTGATTTTGCTAGTTGTGCCATAGGCTACCAGAGTTAATGTACCGTCAGCAAAAAAAGAATCCACTTGCCGATGAATTAAGAGATTTACTATAGGTTTTAGACTATATTGCAATGGCACCCACAACTTTTTCTACTACCAGGGCGGTGACATTTTTGCATGAGGTCAAATATTTGACAGATTTTACGGACGGGAAGTTCAATTGACTATATGGGACAGAATATACTTCGCAACCAAATACATGTTGGTCAGGTTCCTGGAACACAGTTATACTAGTTCAGGGACCAGGGAATCAACGATTTTATGTGTTACAAAATAAATATATTATGATTTGTTGTAAGTTTTTGCGTGTTGTGCCATAGACAACCAGAGCAAATGTACCGTTAGCAAAAAAACATAATTTCCCGATGAACTGAGAGATTTGCTATTGATTTCAGACTGTTTTGCAATGACGGCATTGCTTATATGAGCACTTTATCAACGTGATTTGAAGTTTACTTTGGATAAGTATGTAGCATTACTTTATATTTGCCTAAAACATTATGTAACTATCGGAAATGAAACTATAACCGCGTTGCATATTTACCGTGCCAGCCGCACGCGCGATCCAAAGCCGTGACACAGTTTATGTTGTGAATTGCCGGTCTAACAGTATACATAGATGTCTTTGAGATGAATTGTAATCGATTGATTGAATACTTTATTGTAAAGAATTACTCATAGGCCATAATCATTACGTATCGAGTTTTTATTTTAATACAATAAAGGTGACAAACGAGCACACAGTCCACCTGATAGTAAATGGATGCTGTGGCCTATAAACATCTACATCAGTTCTCGATTAAGAACCCCTGAGTAAGATGGAATGCCTCGTTTCCAGTACAAAGGGTCTCCGGTTCTCTACACGCACCATACGAAACACAAAATCATTAAGCTACTATTTCAGACTGGTAATTTGTATTGTGTATTCGAATACCCTCATTTAATAAATTGACAATCGATCTGTACATTTAAACACAAAAAAATTGTTACGGATTTTATCGCGGATGTAAACTTATTTTATATTACCATGGTCGGACTGAGGTGTTCGACGCCCCAATGTCATAGTCAAAGGATCTCAAGCAGATGGTAACAACGCAGCTATCTATAATTCTACTACTTATAGTTAATAAAATTAAATTTTCAAGATACTATACAAGTTCATTCTGCGTGGTTAACTATGACATTGGGACGTGGAACACCTCAGTTAAAAAAGAAATCATTATGTAAACCGACCTATAGACAGCGGCTATGAAATAACTCAAAAAAAAAACATTAAAAAAGCTTCGTGACTTGGATTTCATAGAACAAATGAATGAGAATGAATACCAAATAGTTCAGTGGCCGCAACTCCTGTCCTCTCACAGTACTAAGATACAAAACTGACGTTTCTCTATATATATAATAATATATTTATATTTATTTATTTACAAAACTTTATTATATTAAGATAATTACTTACAAGGCGCGACTAGGCGGGTACACTCGCTGTACAAAACAATTTCAAGTTTAATTTGTGCCCGATTTTTGTCTAAATTTAACATTACTCTGTACTGAGGGTGGGGAGGAGGGGGTTTAACACCAACTGTATTTCTTTATGTACATACGACTGTATCAAGGCTGTATTCATCCCCCTCCACGCTCAGCACGTACATACACACGCGAGTCCTTCGCCCCCTCCCCCGCGCGCCTGAGATCGTGGTTCTGAACTTGTTTTACAACATACAATTTAGAATTTTTCGCTGGTGCGCCATGTTGCGCGTCGCTCATCTGAAAGTGAAAACAAATGCATTTTTAATTTATTTTAGTACGCAAAGGCGGTGAAGGAGAACAACCTGGATGTTAAGATATAAAGTATTTAAGGTAATGTAAGGTCCGTCATTACGCATTTGAGCAACCCACTTCGTTATTTTGTAATAGAAAATGCAATATAGGAAAAATAAATAAATAAGCGTAACTTTAAGAAAATTACTTTACATGATATTCTTCGCCGTATATTTATTTATTTATTTATTATATGTACAACAAAACGGATAACAATCAAAATACATTAAAAATTATATATATATATATGTATATATATATGTATATATATATATATATATATATATATATATATATATATTAGCTTGGCAGGCAGACGATCTGCCCTTTTCGACGACAATTTGTCATGTCCTATTAAAAATACTTAAATTTGCAAAAAAAATTGTGGGCAAAAAAACTATCCTATCTTGTTCTAAGTTGGAGCAAACTGCACACGGTGTGCAAATTTGATTACAATCGGTTAAGTAGTTTAGGAGTCCGTCGCAGACAAACAAAGTGACACGTAATTTATATACTATTATAATATATATATATATATATATATATATATATATATATATATATATATATATATATATCACTTTTGTGGCAGATTGTTTTCCCAAGTATGTATATTACTACATAATACAAAAAAATAAATTTAAATTTAAAACCTACGTGATATGGGAACGAAATGAATGTGAATAACGGTATTCTTTTTTGAATATCCTGGACTTTGGGTCAAAAATATCCAAGTCGGAGTCTTTCATGGATATCTCGTTGTAAAGTCGACATATCAATATTATCATGTTGTAAAAACAAGTATAATTCTTATAAGTCTGCTGGTAAAATGTCTTGCTAGAAATTCGGGTATTGCGCTTTATATGTATAAAGTGAATATCCTCTACCTCAGATCGTGCCTCGGGTGTCGTAAGACGCGACAGAGGTAAACAAACAGAATATGTGCAGCAGCTACTACTACGATATGACAAAATAGTGACACTGCCAGGTAGTCCCAAAAATAGGAATTCCATAGCAGACACGCGGAAACAAAAACGGAAACTGTCAAAATCTCCTGATTTTGAAACCAACGTAATCAGCGAAAGCAATGTCAAACAGGTACCGAAGAAAAACAAGTTAAACAATATTACCTCCTACATGTACAACACGCAACCGAAAAAAGGATTGGAGTCAAGTTCGACTGAGATACACTCATTACCAAAAAACGTGTAAAAGAAGCCCCTCCACATCTCCCAATACGGCTGGTCACCGCGGGGGGATAATGACTACAACCCTCCATTTACACTACGAAATCTCTACATCTGTACCTATAATGCAAAATCTCTACTATCAGATGAAAGATTACTCGATTTTAAGAGAGCGATTTCAAAAATAAAATACGATATTATTGGCCTCGCTGAAATAAGAAGAACGGGATATAATATCATAGAAAAAAACGAACATATTTTCTGCTATTTCGGGGAAACGAAAGGTCAATATGGAGTCGGATTTCTTATAAAAAAGGAATATAAGCTAAACATCGAGAGTTTCATTGGAGTATCTGAACGCATGAACTTGTGAAAGAGTATAAATGTCTAAGCCCGAGGCTGCTATGGATGCGAATTAAAGTGGGCTTAAAGAAGCTGTTCCTGCTAGGGATGTACGCCCCAGACATGTCTAAGCCCACTTACATCCGAGAGCAGTTTTGGGACATGGTAAGGATGGTGTTTACAAAATGTAAGAAAAATGAAAATATTATTATGTTAGGAGCCTTTAATGGAAGGGTTGGGGTGAAGAGGTCTGGTTATGAAAGGATATTGGGAACGTTTGGTGATGAAAGTATAAATGAGAATGGTGAAGACCTCCTCACCGTATGTGTTGAAAAGAATCTCTTTGTGACGAATACTTTTTTTCGTCATAAGAAGATTCACATGTATACATGGGAAAGAGGTGATGATAGAAGCATGATAGATTTCGTAATTGTGGATGAAAAAATGAGGAGCGCAGTCGTAGATACAAGGGTTTACCGGGGGTCCAACGTAGGGACGGATCATTACTTGGTCTTATGTCGAATTAATGGTCTTTTCAAGCTTTGGCGGCATCGGACATCTGTGTCTACCACTGCGTTACAGCGTATAAGAATAGAGAAGTTACAAGATGAAGATGTGAAAGAGAAGTATAAATGTAGACTGAGAGATAATATTAGGTGTTTGAATGTGTTTTGTATGAATGATTTAGACTTGAATACTGTGTGGGATAATATTAAGAAAGGTTTGGTGAATGCAGCCACCGAAGTATGTGGTGTAAGTAAGAGAACAAATGAAAGGAAAAGGAATACGTTGTGGTGGGATGATGAGGTACGGGTGGAAGTTGAATCAAAGAAGAAAGCATGGTTAGATTTACTAGCAACCAAAGCTGGTAATTCTTCTGGTATGAATGATGAGATTGAAAGAAAAAAGGCAGAATTTAGACGTCTAAATAAGAGAGTAAAAGAAGTTGTGGAAAGGAAAAAGAAAGAAAGAACGGATAAGAATGATAGAAGGATATCTGATAATTTCCAGGCTAACATAAAAATGTTCTGGAAACTCGTAGGAACTGCCAGGGGAAATACAAAACAGCCTATAATGAATGCTATAAGAGACGAGAATGGATGTATTCTCAATGATGAAGCTTCGAATTTAAACAGTTGGAAGGAATACTTTGAAAGCGTGTTTATGAGTGAAGAGTCGTCTGAATTAAATGAACTAGAAATTCCGAAAGAAGTGGAAAGGGGTATGGAGATAAGTGTAGATGAAATAATGAAAGCAATGAAAAGCAGGAAAGCAGGTAAGGCAGCTGGATATGATAGAGTATCACTCGAGATGCTAAGGGCTGGAGAGGGAGTGGTGGCAGGCCTGTTGTACACCTTGTTTAATTTATGTTGGGAATTAAAACGGGTACCGGATGACTGGTGTAAAGCAGTTATAGTACCAATATATAAAGGAAAAGGGTCACAGCAGGACTGCAAAAACTACCGTGGTATCAGCTTGCTTAGTATTTTGGGTAAACTGTATGCTAAGGTGTTAATTGAAAGAGTTATGAAAGAAACTGATGGAAAAATTTGGGATGTGCAAGCGGGTTTTAGAAAGGGAATGGGGTGTACAGATCAAGTCTTTTCCATGCGCATGATTGCGGAGAAGTTTTTGGCTAAAAACCAGAAAGTTTTTTGTGCGTTCATGGACTTGGAAAAGGCTTATGACAGAGTGGACAGGAATGTGTTATGGCAAACACTGAACTCATATTGGTTGAGCGCTGGTTTGATACAGGCATTGAGGTCTCTTTATAGGGATTCTAGTGCTTGTGTCAGGGGTCTACTAGGACTGGTTTGGCATCCGAAAGGGTGTCAGACAGGGCTGTGTAACTTCCCCTTGGCTGTTCAACCTATTTATGGACAGGTGTTTGCAAACTTTGAAAGATGAAGAATGTGGGTTAAGAATGGGCGAGTTAACCGTCAAATGCCTTTTGTATGCCGATGATCAAGTCATATTTGCGTCATCGGCGGCTGAGTTGCAAATGATGGTTACATTAATGAACTGGGAATTAAAAGAAAGGGGAATGAAAGTGAACGCAAGTAAGACGAAAGTGATGGTTTTTGAAAGAGAGGAAAGCAAAACAGTATGTGAAATAAGAATAGAAGGAGAGTTAATTGAGCAAGTGGATGAGTTTGTGTATTTGGGATGTGTATTTAGCAGGGATGGTAGATATGATAGGGATATAGAACGACGAGTAAATGCAGGGAATAGAGTGAATGGGGCACTATACTCTATTGTGAAGAACCAGAATGTGTCAAAAAAGGCACGTATGGTAATTCATAATGCTGTGTTAGTCCCTACTTTAATGTATGGTAGTGAAAGCTGGGTGTGGCAGAAGAAGCACGAAAGTAGAATAAATGCTGTAGAAATGCGGTCTTTAAGGAGTATGCTAGGGTTGAATCTGAATGACAGGTTGAGAAATTGCATGATAAGAGATAAATATGGTATGCAAGATGATGTTGTGACCAGGATTAAGAAAGGAATCCTTCGGTGGTTTGTTCATGTGGAAAGAATGAATGAGGAAAGAGTGACAAAACAAATTTATATGGCAGATGTGAACGTCAGAGTCGGGAAGGGACGCCCTAGAAAAAAGTTTATCGATCAAATTGGCGATATTTTGAAAATGGACCACGTTAAAAGTGCCTTTAACTGACGAGCATGTATGCGTAGATATATGGATGTAAAGGAGGCGAAAGAGGTATGTTAGGATCGTGTCAAATGGAAGTCCGTGGTCTCTGCCTACCCCTCTGGGTGACAGGCGATTATATACTAACGAATAGAAAGGAAAACATCTCAAACTTAGAAATCATATCAAACCTAACGTTTCCCAGCGACCATCGACTCTTGAGAAGTACACTACAGATTGCACCGATAAAGAAAAGTAGAGCAAATTTCAAAAATTATACAACCAAACTCAATACTTTAGAAGAACAAGAACAATTCATACAAACCTTAAGTACAAACATAAACAAAATTGAATTAGAAGAAAATGAAAATATAGAGTCCTTATACGCCAAAATTAAAAAACCAATAATCACCAGTTTAAATTTAATTCGACAGAAACCAACAACAAAATGGGAGGCCATCCCTGTGCACACAAAATGTCTTAATGCAAGAAGAAGTGAACTAGTTCAGAAGAAGTCCTTAACAAAAGAAGAAAAAGGCGAACGTACATACCTGTACAAAAACATCTACAAATTAATGAAACGGGAACGTACAGAACGCAGAATAAAAAAAGTTCACACGCACCTCGAATCAACAGGTAGCTTAAAGAAAGGTCTTAAAAATCTTAATACCACCAAACGATGAATATCCTATATAAAAGATGATACTAATGATAAGAAAATATTGTCAAGATCTGATATCATAGAAAAGGTAACAACATTCTATAAAAATTTATACTCAGTAAAAGGTACTACTCCGGAAGTCGAAACGTCCTACCAGAACTCTACAACTCTAGCTAGATTCTCTACACTTGAAGTAATAAAGAAAATTGAAAGTCGGACAAAAGCAACGGGCCGGATGGAATCCCAAATGAAGCACTAAAATTGGGGAAAATTATACTAACACCATACATAACAACAATATTTAACAAGATTCTAAACGATAGAGCAATACCGAAAGAATGGGCACAATCGGACATAATTTTACTCTACAAGAAACGAGACCCTGCCGTTATTGGAAACTACCGACCAATAAGCTTACAACCAAATATGTACAAACTATTTGCTTCCTGTCTTGAGGATCGCCTAGCAAAGTTCACAGAGAAATTTCAACCGCCGGAACAAGCAGATTTCAGGAAAAACTTCTCAGCAATAGATCACATCCACACTTTAAATTTGATTATAGAGAAATATATAGAGCACAATAGACCACTCTACCTGGCATTTATCGACTATGCAAAAGCCTTCGACTCTATATCACATACGAGCATGTGGAAAGCTCTAAATGAGTGCGTAGTACCATCGGAGACTATAGATCTTATAAAGACATCTACTACAAAAGCAAAAGTCGTGTAAAGTTAGAGAGACATGGCCCTGAAATAAACATTTGTAGAGGCGTCAGACAGGGTGACCCCCTGTCACCTAGAATTTTTATAACTGTGCTACAAAATATAATGAAAACTCTGAACTGGGAAAAGAAGATATAAATAGCAAACTCCTCAGTAATCTTCGAATTGCGGATGACATCATATTCTTTTCCGAAACAGCATCTCAATTACAGAAAATGATTAATGAACTAAATGATGTAAGCAATACGATTGGCTTAGAACTAAATGCTACCAAGACTAAAGTCATGACAAACCACCATATTATACCAATAAGGGTCAATAACATTATATTAGAATACGTTCAAAGCTATGTTTACCTGGGACAGCAAGTATCTTTCTCTAAGACAAGACGAAGATGAGGTTAAAAGACGAGTTAACATAACCTGGAATAAATTCTGGAGCAATAAAGAAACCCTAAAATCAAAATTCCCTATAAAACTGAAGAAAAAAATAATGGATACATGTTTACTACCCTGCCTTACGTATGGCTGCCAAACGTGGATATACAATAATAAGACTAAAAACAAAATACAAGTATGTCAAAGAGCAATGGAAAGAAGTATACTAAATATACAAAGAAAACGCAGAAAAAGAAACACAGACATAAGAAATACAACAAAAATAATAGAAAGCATCTATTATTTTTGTTTGGAACATTCCCAAAAACAAAAATGGAAATGGGCGGGTCATATTGCTCGTATAGACAAAGAAAAATGGACACAGAGAGTAACTAACTGGCAAGGACCACCAAACAAAAGGAACAGAGGTAGACCGAGAGAAAAATGGGTTGATGAAATAATAAGAAAAGCCGGTGAAAATCGGATCACAAAGGCAAAGGACAGACAGACGTGGAAAAAAAATGGAGGAGGCCTTCACCCGTTGAGGGGTCCGTAATGAATTATGTTATGAATTTTGTACGTAAACTGATCTGAAAATTTATTTTATTTAATATTTTGAAATTTATATAAAATTTAAAAATTATTCGATTGTAAATTATTAATTCTAATAATTATGAATTGTATTATTTTGTTATATGCATGCATAATTATGTAAATCGTAATCTTAAGATACTATTGTTCTTTTTAAGTCATTCATTATGGAAATAAAGAAGGCTATATATATATATATATATATATATATATATATATATATATATATATATATATATATATATATATGTGCAGCAGCATCTCCCTAATAACAAATAAAAATTAACAACTGTGGTTGCCACCCCGCCAAGCGTGGCAACTATGGCAAATCTCCCTCCCCCTCCTATGAAGCGACCTATGTGAGAGATTATTGTTTACCAGTGGACTATAACCAGACGGTATTAAATTTTAAGTACAGGTAATCATTGAATACCCTCCCCTGAGCCTGCATACGAATTAGTTCCACACCCAGACAGAGCTCCGTCACTGTCAATCACTTTTTATATGAAGTAATAACAAGTAGTAAAATTAAACATTTTATACAGCCAACTTCATATAATTAAAATCGGAACATCATCAATGTATTCGAAGTCAATTAAATACGCTTAATAACTCAAAAACTACTGTTCACATATAAATATAAATTTATATGGAACCACACGAGAAGCAACTGCTTTCAAATTAAAAAAAAATTGATTCATCAATTTCCGAGGTAACACACATTAAAAATAAACAGTTGAATTTAATATCCTTTTGAAGTCGATTTTACGAACACGAAGTATTACCAGACCGGGAACAAAATTTCCAATACTAGTAGTAGTACGAGTACTTGGTAAGGCTGATGGCCATACCCCAGCTTACCCTCTTTTTACTGGACACGAGGCATTACATCTCGGTCCTCAGTGGTGACAACGCATTTGTATTTTGATTCGTAATCGTGGATAGATGTAGATGTCTATGGGCCACAGCAACCACTTACCATCAGGTGGACTGTGTGCTTGTTTGTTACCCTTACTCTATAAGAGAAAATGGAGGCATGAACAAGGAGCACGCTGTCACACGACGTACGCGCGTCAGTTACGCACCTCACGTGTTGGCCGGGCTGCGGCTCCCGCCCGCCCCGCTGCCGCCCGCCCTGCGCGCACACACACACACACAACACCATCACACACTATCTCTAGTATAACTAAACATAGTGGCTGATAGCAACTATGTCACACTAAAACATTACAAATGGCTTATAAATTATTTAATCTTAAACTGCCGGAAACTATGGCAAATATCTCCCCTGCGAGGGACGACAATGAACACAGCAGCAGTCAACTTTCGTTGGGCTGGTATTAAATAATGAATTAATTTTATATACATTCTACGTCTGTGCCGACATAAGCATTTAGCTGACATTATCATTGGAGCCGTAGTGGCTCAGATGGACCCGGGTTCGATCCCCGCCGGCACCAATGAAATTGTTAATTGCAATTTTAAGTGCTGATTTACCACGTGCTCAGCGGTGAGGGAAAACATCGTGAGGAAACCTGCATTTCCGAGGAATAAGAAAATAAATATTTCGAAGACACGTGAAGTTCGCCAACAAGCATTGGGGCAGCACGGCGGACACTTCCTTGCCTTAAAACCCTCTCAGAAATGAGAGGAGGCATGTGCACGGCAGTGGGGCGTATATAGGCTGTAACGCTAAAATACTCATCACGCCGCGCAAACCATCTTGTATTACCAAACATTCGCACTAATTATGGAAAAAATGCCGTAACATTTGCGGGTGCACAGTTATATAATAAACTCCCTTCAACTATAAAAGATGCAAGTTCACTCAATATTTTCAAGAAAAAATTATTAGACCACATTAAAAAACAAGACATTTTATAACTTGGACCACCGTCTTATATTATCAATACTTGAAACATCGCTCTTACGCAGTTAACTTGCAACTTCTATATATCTAATTTTGATCTACCCTAAAATATGTCTACTATTTTATTATATTGTTCTGTGTGATTTATTTTAAATTGTATGAATGTACTCATGTAAGTGACATTAGTCTTAATGAGTAAATAAAGATCTTTAAACCGAACTTTACTTTTTTTTTCTTAACATTACCATTTACTTGCATATATTCCTGAAACAATCTGAACGTCTTCAAGGCGTCAATGTTTTTTTTTACATTGGTAGAGCCTCGCTCTCACAGAATACCAACGTAAAGTAGCAGCTTAGTGTTGCTGTGTTCGTATGGTGAGTGTAGAGAACCGGAGACCTTTTTTACTGGAAACGCGGCATCCCATCTTAGTCCTCACGGGTGACAACGCATCTGTATTTTGATTCTAAGTTGAGGATAAATGTGGATGTCTATGGGCTACAGCATCCACGTATCATCAGTTGGATTGTGAGCTCGTTCGTCATCCAATGATATAAAAAAGCAAGAGTGAATAGGCTTCTGTGACGTTAAGACAATAAGATTTACCATCTCTGCATCGCCACTCACCACTTACCAGGTGAGATTGTGGTCAAGTACTGGCATGAGAAAAAAATTCTATTAATTTCTTAATTAGCGCGGCTTAAACATGAGTTTTGATGGGATCGTAAAAGACGACATGTTAGTATGGTGGAGGTTCATATCCAGTCCAGCACTAGGTTATTCATATTTCCAATAAATCCAAAGTTTTTTTTTAATACAACAAGGGTGACAAACGAGCACACAGTCCACCTGATGGTAAGTGGATGCTGTGGCCCATAGACTACATTTATCTACATTTCATCAGAACGCAGATGCGTTGTCACCCGTGAGGACTAAGATGGAATGCCTCGTTTCCAGTAAAAAGGGTCTCCGGTTCTCTACACTCATCATACGAAACACAGCAGCACCAAGCTGCTATTTCACGCTGGTATTCTGTAAGAGCGTGTTCCTTCCCCGGCCGAGCCGACACCATTCGTGCTACAACCATGACATATCTGCAGCGTGACTCTACCGCGTATTTTTAAACCCATTTTTTTGCTATACGTAGTACAAGTAGCTTGCGACTCCGTATACTCTGCCTAGCCCCTCTGGAATTGCAGGCACAACGCTATCAATTTATGTATTTACTTAATGTAACTTTAATATTATATACTAGCTGGCCTAGAAATAATGATACTAGACAAGAAATGTGAACTCACCTATAGTCGTGGTGTCTGTAGAGCGAGTAGTCCGTTCGAGGACGTCGCGGGCTGGGGCTCGGCGTGAGGCTAGGCGTAGGCACTAGGTTAGGCGTGGGATTGCGCGTGTGATTGGGCGTGGGACTGGGCGACGCGCTACGACTGCCGGAGCGTTGCGACGCACCCGAACCCGACATCGAACCCGCACCCGAGCTGCCCGCCTGACTCACTGGCGAACGAAATTATGTTTTAAGTGTACTTTTAATTCCAGTACCTCTGTAAGTTATAATTTGACAATACTAGTATCTAATTAGGCTAGACTACTAGCAAAATTAGCATCCGGCTCGAAGGACCAAGTGCCAAATCATCAAATGTGCAATTTTTCTTTATATATTGAAACATTTTATATAGTATATTGAAAAATTTCAAATGGTATAATATTTATTTTTTATATAGACACCAACGCGCGCCCGAGCCGCCTTCGTGACTCAGTGCCGAACGACATTATATTTTTAACGTAAGTGTACTTCAAAATCTAGTACCCCACTAGGTTATGATTAGGCAATACTTGAGATATTTAGGCCGATACTACTAGCGAAATTAAAATCTGGCTCGAAGGACCAAGTGACAAAATGTGAAACTTTTCTTTGTATATTGAACAATTTAATATAATATCCTTTTCACCTTTTTTTTAATATACATAATATCTTTTTCACCTTTTATTTCCCATCACTTCGACCTGTAAGATCTATTGTGATCACTGCAATGGTTGTAGTTACGGTTTTAAAGTCATTTTTTTCTCAAAAAAATTAATACATACACTTACATGAGAAACTTACATTGCTATAAAGCTTATACTTTGTCCAGTGATCGTAGCACGTGTTTAGGTTTTATAATTCTAACGCTTATTAAGTCTATAATCTAATATCATCATCATCATCATCATCACAGCCCTTCACAAGTCCACTGCTGAACATAGGCCTCCCCCAAGTAATGCCACAAAGCACGGTCCTGAGCCACCTGCATCCATCGACTTCCTGCATATCTTACCAGGTCGTCACTCCATCTAGTGGGGGGTCGCCCTACACTACGCCTACCGGTACGAGGCTACCACTCGAGAACCTTTCTTCCCCATCGGTTATCGGTTCTTCGAGCTATATGGCCGGCCCATTGCCACTTCAGCTTACTAATCCGTTGGGCTATGTCGGTCAATCTGGTTTTACTGCGGATATCCTCATTTCTGAGTCTATCACGCAGAGAAACTCCGAGCATAGCCCTCTCCATAGCTCGCTGAGCGACCTTGAGCGTCCTCATACGGCCAGCAGTGAAGGACCACGTCTCTGATCCGTAAGTCATCACTGGCAACACGCACTGGTTGTACACTTTAGTTTTCAGAGATTGAGGTATACCTGACGAGAAGATATGTCGTAATTTCCCGAACGCTGCCCAGCCGAGTTGAATCCGTCGATTGACCTCTCGGTCGAAGTTGGACTTACCTAGTCGGAATATTTGTCCCAGGTAAACGTACTCGTCAACAACTTCGAGCATAGTGCTCCCAACAACTACCGGCATAGGTGTGACATGGACATTAAACATAATCTTTGTTTTGTCCATGTTCATCTTAAGACCTATCCGTTGGGAGGCACTATTGAGATCATTGAGCATAGTGCTTAAGTCCTCCAGCGATTCTGCCATAAGGACTATATCGTCGGCAAATCGAAGGTGAGTGATGTACTCGCCATTGATGTTAATACCGTATCCTTTCCAGTCCAGTAGCTTGAAAACGTCTTCCAAAGCAGCGGTGAAGAGTTTCGGGGATATAACGTCACCCTGTCTTACACCTCTCTGCAGTTGGATAGGTTTCGAGCTCTGGTTCTGTACTCGGATAGCCATCGTAGCCCTACTGTACAAACACTTCAGCACTTCGATATACCGACAGTCAACTTGGCACCGCTGAAGGGACTGCAGCACCGCCCAAATTTCGACGGAATCAAAGGCTTTCTCATAGTCCACATACGCCAGGCAAAGTGGCAAATTGTACTCTTCAGTCTTCTGTACAATCTGCCGCAGGGTATGTATGTGGTCTATGGTACTGAAGCCTTTTCGGAAACCGGCTTGTTCGGGAGGCTGGAAGTCGTCGAGTCTGCGTGCGAGACGATTCGTAATGACTCTCGAAAACAGCACGTAGACGCGGCTCAGAAGGGAAATCGGTCTGTAGTTCTTCAAGAGAGCGTTGTCGCCTTTCTTAAAGAACAAGACCACCGCACTTCTGCTCCACGCCTCTGGAGTAGTGCCACCATGGAGGACGGAATTGAAGAGCTTCTGAAGGACTTCAAGTACCGGTGTTCCACCCGCTTTCAGAAGCTCCGCTGTAATTCCATCCTCGCCTGGGGCCCTGCCGTTTTTAAGGTGCTGGAGAGCCATTCTAATCTCGCTTAGACTGACGTCCGGGATATCATCGGAATAGTGTCGGATAAGACTTGCTCTTGGATCGTTACTCACACTTGCGTGTGGCTCCAACGATGATGTGTACAGCTGCCCATAGAACCTCTCAATCTCACTCAAAATCTCAGGTGTCCCGGAAACGATGCTGCCACACTCAGTATTCAGCCTTGACAGTTGGCTCTTTCTGGCAGACAGATCTCTGGCAAAGACTTTGGAGCCCTGGTTCCGCTCGATCGCTTCTTTAATACGAGCAGTATTAAAGTTGCGTAAGTCTCGCCGCATGCATTTGGAGATCTGTCTGTTCAGTTGCCTGTATGCTGTCAAATCTGTTGACGATTGCAGCCTCATCTCCCGTCTAACAGCCATGAGATTAAGAGTGTGATCGGAGAGTTTTTGTGTTCTTCTGCGGCGGGTCTTGCAGAACTTAGCTCCGACCGCATGGACAGTTTCCACGAGCTTGTCATTCATATCGTCCACTGCATTGCAATCTTGTAGGCACTGAAAGCGGTTGTGTAACTCGAGCTGAAAGTTTTCGGGATTTTGGATCAGAGCACGAGGGGGACGGAGCGTTGACTTCATTAGACGAGACCTCTCCAACTTAACGTTTAGGTTCAGTGTGCCTCTAACCATTCGGTGATCGCTGCCAGTTTTCACCCTTGCGATCACTGAGACATCACTGAACAGTTGGCGTCTGGTCGTCATAATGAAGTCAATCTCATTTTTTGTCGAACCGTCGGGGCTCGACCAGGTCCACTTCCTGTGGGGCCGCTTCTGGAAGAAAGAGTTCATCATAAAGAGTCCCTCTTTCTCCATAAAGTCGGCCAGCTGCTGGCCCCTTCGGTTCCGTTGCCCTACTCCAAATTTCCCTAACTTCAGCTCCCCGCTTTCTCTTGTGCCTAGTTTTGCGTTGAAGTCTCCCATCAACACCGTGTAGTGGGTTTTGGAGGAATGTATGGCTTTGGAAATATCCTCATACATTTCCTCCACCTCCTCATCGGAATGTGCCGACGTTGGTGCGTAAACCTGTATGACCTTCAGCGAATACCGTTTGGTGATTCTGAGTATCAGGTACGCGACCCTCGTCGACACACTCTCAATCTGTACAACGTTGTTGACGAGAGACTTGTGGACGATAAATCCGACACCTCCTTGGGACAGATGGTCGCCCTCCCGGTGATAGAACAAGTTGCCGGATTCGAGAATCACCGTGTCCTCCCCCCTCTCTTCGGACCTCGGATAATCCTATAATACTCCAGCGCAACTTGTCTATCTCTTCTTCCAGCTCCAGGATCTTCTCGTCAGTCCTCAGTGTGCGTGCGTTAAATGTTGCCAGGTCGAGTCGTCGTAGGTGGCAACCGAACCTCCACCGGAGATTCTTAGCACCCCCTGCCCCGCCGTTACCATGGTCGCCACCGTAGCCAGGAATAGCGGGGCCGCCGGGGACTGGGGGCCGTCTATTTGTGTAATTGTTCATGGGGGGTATATTGCCATAGTTGCCACGCTTGGCGAGCGGGTTGGCAACCGCAGTTTTTTTTTGTCGTACAGTTGCTGTTATCAGGAAGATGCTGCTGCCCATCTCCTGCCTGTCTCCCTCTGTCGCCTCTTACGACACCCACGGGAAGATATGGGGTAGTGGATATTCTTAACCGCCACTACACGGCAATCTAATATACAAAGGTGTTTTCTTAAACTTATTTCATATTTGATATTCACTATATAACTTTTGCAATGTACATTTTTAAAAATATTTATTGTTTTCGCCTTCTTTATCTGCTTTGGTGAATTATGAAATATTTGTACTCCCTCAAACATGATATTCTTTTTCCCGTAATTTGTTCGCGGAGAACTTTTGTGCGTTTCTTAAATAACGTTTATGTAGTGCGTTCTTTAAGTTAAAGGTTATTATAGTAGGTATCATTTTACGTAAAATTTTAAGTATTAAATACAGGTTATATTTATAGTTTTGTGTTATAATAAATATTTTTGTTTGATTATATATACTGTTGTTTGATTATATATAATATTGTTGGTTTTGTAAAATCATTATTATATAAAGTTTTTAATATTTTGTTTTGGGCAGTTTGTATAGCTTCCATGTTTGTTTTTGCAGCAGAACTCCATACTTCAATTACGTGATGTAAATGAGACTTGATAATTGAATGCAGTGGCGAAGCTTCCATTAAAGCCGAAAAGCCGGGCTTGCCTTATTAAACCTGAATCAATCAATAATATCAATCAACAATATCAACTAATAAAATAACTCGTAAAATGTTTCAAGCTATTTCAAATTTCTCGCGCACTCCACTGTTCGACCCATGTCGACCGATGACCTCGTATTGCCTTAGCGATACTGCTGCTGTCATAAAAATGAATTTTAATAGAGCTAATAGTTGTCTCACTCGCTCGCGTGGGCTTTTTAAGGGGCTTTCGAGAAGACGATCGCTCTCTTTTTAACCATAAACATAATCCATAAACACTCACACCTGTCACCCAGAGGGGTAGGCAGAGACTACAGATTTCCATTTGGCACGATCCTGACACACCTCTCTCGCCTCCTTCACATCCATACACCTACCCATACATGCTCGTCGGTTAAGGGTACTCCTAATTTGGCCCGTTTCCAATAAATCGCCAATTTGGTCGAT